GAGGAGGGGGGGTGGGATCACGAAAGGAGTGGAGCGGGCGGGGGGTGCGCCGGGGGAAGCTCCCGGGAGAAGAGGGGGAAGGTAGGGGTCGGGGTGCAGCTGGGCAACACAAGAAAGCGCGCGCGCGCGCGCGCGCGAGAGAGAGAGAGAGAACCGTCAAAGCGACAAGAGGGAGAGAGAGAGAGAGAGAAGAGGGAGCGACACTGGAGAGAGAGAGCGACGTGCGCACGAGAGAGAGAGAGAGAGAGAGAGAGAGAGAGAGAGAGAGAGAGAGAGAGAGAGAGAGAGAGAGAGAGAGAGAGAGAGAGACCTTGTTGGCTGGCGGCGTTGTCGACGAGCGTCGCTGGAGTGGTGAAAGTCCTGGCAGCTGCTGTTCTCGGCGATGGCTCCAAGCAGTGGCTTCGGCGGCGATGGCTCCAGGCAGTGGCTTAGGCGGCGATGGCTCCAGGCAGTGGCTTCGGCCGCTATGGCTCCAGGCAGTGGCTTCGAAGAAAGGCGGCGCTCGGGAAGCTGGCAGCAGCGGCTGGCGGGAGTTCCGAAAAACGCAACTTCGAAAACGACCCACCAACCACCTATGACCCCACCCCAGTCCCCTGTGTCCGGTCGGCTAACCTAGGTCCGGCAGGCCGAAACGGAACCGACAAATCGGCCCCATATTTTTTAGGGGGCGAACAGGACCCGAAAAACGTCCTGGGCAGCCCCCTTTTTTTTTTTGAATTTTTGACCAAGGGCCCTATTCCAGACGCAACCCACCGGACACCGGGCCTGTACATTTTGCTACGGACTGTCTGGAAGCCCATCCGGACGTCCGGTCGGTAGCCATGATATATATATAGTCAAACAGAGCTGCCCGGTAAACCGTAGGCAGAGAGGGAGAAGAGGACAACAAACGAGGGGCTGTGGCAAACTGTTTCGACGGAGTTTCACCGACTCATCAGGAGGCTGGACCCTAACAGTCTGCAGAATCCCCTGATTACACTGTAAGTAATAATCCACCTTAATCCCGACTGTGGTTAAGCATCAACGACTGCCCGCCAACTGATACCCTGAGGTGGGCACCAACCACTGCCCTCAAGGTACCTGTGGCAAAAGTCGAAGCAGACTACCACTCACCCACACCAGATGGAAAACTCTACAGACTGTCGGTTCACACCCCATCACAAGCAAGCAAAACACCCACGAAACAAAGAAAGGTCTGTCACAACCAAAAAATACACTCCAGACACGCCGCTGGCACTAGAGGCACAGCATGGCCTCGTAGTGACGTGCCCGACCACTGCCGCTCAACCGGACCGGAGAATACCGGGTGCTATATATTGTCACACTGTAAATCAGAGCGTGAAGGCGAAAAAAAGCAAAATAAGGAAAGGAAAAGAAGAAAGGAAGGAAAGCCCCAACCGTTCATCACCTCTTGCGCACAAGGCCAGCCACGTGGATGATAGGTTGAGCGCTGGCTACCCCCATCCCCGTGTGTCACAAGGACCCACTTGCACGCAGCCAAAAGGCAAAGAGGTAAAGAAAAGGAGGAGGAAACCAAACCTGACAAGGAAAGAAAGCGTATCAATCAAACAAAGCAAATGACACATCCCACAGATAATCCAATTGTCACAAAACAAATACCACATCCCATAGATCAACATATTTCTTTTTCCTTTTTTCCTTATTTTCTTTTTTTCTCTTTTTTAAAGTTTTCTCTTTTTCTTTTTTTCTTTTTTTCTCTTATAGGACAGCTACGGTGAGGATGATGTGGATGTTCACAAGGATACCCAAGGAGGGCTGCACCAGCACAACATTCAGCAGGACGGCTAGCACGAACCATCCCATCAAAACAGTCCTGACAGAGGGCATGTTGTCCACATGTCAAAAAAACAGCAGGACGTTCATCACAGTAGGACATCATGCAGTTTTGATAGCGTCCTTGGGCACAAAAGGGACAACGTATATCTGGGTGACAGGGATGTGTACAATGAGGAAATGTTGGACACCCCTCAATACAGACGGCGGCAGTCGCAATAAATTGGTAATGGCTATATATTGTCACATAACTATGAGCTAAAAGAGCGCAATTTGCGAAACAAACGGCAAAAATAAAAATAAAAATAAAAATAAAAACAGACACACACGAAGGGCACAGTGAAACCATTCATTTTACTCATTCTTCTTTTGACTCCCCTTTCACCGTGCCTCTCACGTACAAGGCTCGCCACGATGATGAAGTTGAGCATGAGCTGCCCCCATCCCCGTGTGCCATAACAGCCCACTTGTACGCTGTGAGAAAGAGGCAGAGTGAAGGGGGAGGGGATAAACATAGGGAGGAGAGATGGAGAGCACACAAACAAAGAACGGTAAAGGGAAAGTAAGGGAAAGTATGGAGTGTGGAGTGAAGATGAAGGTAAAGGAGGATAAGAAAAGGTTCAAGAATGAGTCTGTCCTTGACGAGAGAGAGGACATACATTGTAAGGATGACGTGGATGAACACATGGAAGACCTAGCTGAGCATTCTCAGTGCAACAATTGCCACAATGGGTGGCATTGAGCATGCCCGCCATACACCCCCGACAAATGGCATGTCGATTGCAGGCCAAAATGAAAGAAGAACGGTCACGACAAAAGAGCATGCATTCAATATAGCGCCCTTGGCCGCAAAATGGACATATAGTGTCCGGATGCGGAGGGTGCCTGTAGTCAGGAACGGTGGGACAGTCCTCTGCACACATGGATGCAGAAACCATGTCATTGTAGTGATTGTGACAGAGACGATGGCGGCTACAGCCGAGTGTAACAGTGTTTGTGGTTGTGCAAAGGAGAAGGGCACAGAGTGTTGGTGCATTGTCTTGCTGCAGCACGGGGCCAGAGGAATGATCTTCGACGTAAAAGAGATTGCGGACGGTTTGTTGTGGCAAGAAAACAACAACATTTTGTAAGAAATCAGTGACATCAATCATAGCATGGGCCATGGTGCCGTTGTCCCACAGCTCCCAGTGGTCAGAGGCATGCACAATGGCCATGTAATGGCCAGGGCCGTGCACAATGTAGGCAGAGATGTGGGATGGAGGATTAAGCCACTCACCTGCTCGAGCATTGCATAGTTCAAGTTGACGGTCCCTCATTGCTACTTGTTGGACAGCAATGGTAAAGCCTCCTTCGCTGGTATAATTACAATCCTTTGGCTGTCGTTGGGGAAGATCAGCATCAAGCTGAAGGGCGATTGCAAGGAAGTCTGATGGTGTATAAAACGGGCTATGGAGAATGTGAAGACAGATATTAGTTGCTGTCAAACCACAGAGATTGGTGAGGTTCTCAGGCTGGTTTGTTGGATGCTGGCCAACAATTTGCAGATCACCCAGATGGTGTTGCAAGCCCAAACTGTGTTGGTTTGTTTGTTGGTCAGTCATTTGCAGATCACCCATATGGTCTGTGTGGCGGAGCACAAAATTGTGTTTCATCCGAACAATCCTGGTCAGCCATTTGCAGATCCCCCATGTGGTCTACGCCTTGTGGGGTCAACTGCGATCCGGGCAGATCATGTTCCAATCCCTCAACGTTTAGGGCTGCATCCTGAGTAGGGACTATACCTGGAGTCGGGAGTGTACTCTGGGCAGCGGCTGCATCTTGAGTAGGGACTGGCGGCTGCCTGCACGCAGATGGACTTGAACAGGTTGAAACAAAGGAACCGCAACAACCTGTGGAGGAGGCACAAAGAGAATCGGGGCAGACAAAGAAACAGGTTGCTGATCCCCGGACAAGTGACGATGCCGCGGATGTCGTCGGTGATACACAACAAGAGTAGTGGTGTCGCAAACAAAAGCTGAACTTGTACCTAGCAACGCAGGTGGAACAATGGGGACAATGGAAATTGGAGAATCTATTCGCAAGCGAGACCGTGGAGAAGATGGGTGTGGTGAGGAGGAACGCAGTCGTCTACGGCCAAGCACAGACAAAGATGAGAGGGGGGTGCATTGGGCAAGATTTCGGAGCAAAGGACGTGAGCGTCGTAGAGATTGTGATGTTCTTTGCATTGGAGCTGCAGGACAGGATGCTGTAGCAGTAAAAACTAAAGTAGGGGGAATTACAGTTAGGGAAACTGTTGTACTGAAAACTGCAGCAGTGGAAACCGCAACAGTAGAAACTGCAGCAGCAGAAACTGGAGCAGTGGAAACTGGAGCAATGGAAACTGCAGCAGTGGAAACCGCAACAGGGGACACTGCTGCAGTGGAAACTGTAGTAGTGGACATTGCAGCAGTGGAAACGACAAAAGTAGACACTGCAGCAGTGAAAACTGCAGGAGTGGAGACTCCAACAGTGGAAACTGCGGGAGTGGAGACTGCAGCAGTGGAAACTGCGGTAGCAACAGATGAGTAAGCAGGGGCAGGACGAGAGCATCGTGGCGAAGAAGAAATTGGATGATACAAGGACCATCGCAACATGCGTCGGAACCACTGAGAGAGATGCGTCACATGTGTAGGATAGCGTCGTTGGCGGGAGCGCATGTAGCAGGTCCACCCCTTAGCAAGGGTTGGTGGGGAATGCCCACGCGAAAGCATACGACGAGTACGTGTTGTTGCCGCAATTCGAAAGCCCTGCCAATTGTTACAGATTTGTTCAAATCTGGTAAATTGCCCAGTGAACACACCAGCCGGTTGATGGGAAGGAATGTTGGAGGTCGCACTTGGATAACGAATCACAGGGAAATCCCAAGCAGCTGCTTTATCAAAGACGCTCATGAGAAGCGAGCCATCGGAACGGACCCGTAGCTACATACCTAAAAAGGTACAAAAGCCATCTGTAGCGGTAGTCTTCTTCCACTCCAGCCCATAGTGTTCTGGTGGAGGAGGTAAATGTCCCCATGAAAGAACATCATCAATGAGGCGATAGGTGAAGGCATATTGTTGACGAATGTCATCAACAAAGCGTGCTTCATCCCAATACAGCGTTAGATTAGAATTTTTTGGGCCGTATATATATAACTCCGACGAAGCAATTTGTCACAGCCCCTCGTTTCTTGTCCTCTTCTCCCTTTCTGCCTTCAGTTTACCGGGCAGCTTTGTTTGACGATATATACCACGACTTCGCTAGCACCCTGCTACGGTTTTCTCTGGTCAGGTCGAGTAGCAGTGGTCGGGGCCATGACTACACGGCCATGCTGTGCCTCTAGTGCCAGCGGCGTGTCTAGAGTGTATTTTTTGGCTGTGACAGACCTTTCTCTGTTTCATAGGTGTTTTGCTGGCTTGTGATGGGGTGTGAACCGAAGTCTGTAGAGTTTTCCATCTGGTGTGGGTGAGTGAGATAGTCTACTTTGATTTTCGTCACGAGTACCTTGAGGGCAGTGGTTGGTGCGCACATCAAGGTATCAGTTGTCGGGCAGTCGTTGATGCTTACCCACAACCGGGGTTAAGGTGGATTATCACTTAAAGTGTAATTAGTTTGGGGATTTTGCAGACTGTTGAGGGTTCAGCCTCCTGATGAGTTGGTGAAACTCCAACGAAACAGTTTGTCACAGCCCCTCGTTTGTTGTCCTCTTCTCCCTCTCTATATGTTGAGGGTTCAGCCTCAAACAGTTGACTATATATAATCGAACAGAGCTGCCCGGTAAACCGTAGGCAGAGAGGGAGAAGAGGACAACAAATGAGGGGTTGTGACAAACTGTTTCGTCGGAGTTTCACCGACTCATCAGGAGGCTGAATATATATTTGTAAATTGGAATATACATATATATATATATATATATATATATATTGTTTGACCATATATAGTCAAACAGCGCTGCCCGGTAAACTGTAGGCAGAGAGGGAGAAGAGGACAACAAACGAGGGGCTGTGACAAACTATTTCGTCTCAGTTTCATCGACTCATCAAGAGGCTGAATATATTTTTAAATTGGAATAGCTTGGTTTCATTATATGAGCAAAAGGAGCCCGGGAATCCCTCCACATCTCAACCCAGAGTACTGGGGCCAATACCCAGCTTGGGCTTTTACTGGAAACCGGCTCCAGTGTCCCATGCTTCGGGATTTCCCCAAGCTAATCCAAAACCACAATTTTAGAAAATGGACCCCTCAATAATACAACCAGCAAAAACGGGAGAGAAAAATTAATAAAAAGCAGACTAGAGGCTACTTACCCATCCTGAAATCTAAATTATATCTTGCCCTCTAAAACCCTAAACCCCATTCTTCCCTCTACCTGCTACATGATCTATGCTTCTCCTATGGGGACCCTCCTGTTGTGTCAAATCTTTTTTTTTTTAACCCTAAAACCTTTGGGGTCTGGTCTATGCCCACTCCTCTCAGCTGGAAGGCTGTCGGGTTGGCGTATTTGGCAAGAGCGGGGTTACCCATTTGGGGGCTGTAGAATTCTTCCTTTCTTACCCCTCGACCTTTACTTCTCTTATAAGGGCGCGCTACAAGGTTTCTATTTGTTGGTTTCTACCTCACAGGGGCTCACCGACCACGGGTAAATTGCCACGACAGGTTGACAGAACGGATGGCCGGCCAACGACATTCAGTTCAAAAGGGCTCGAGCGTTGAACAGCAGTAATTTTGTGAGGAGGACCTAAGACGTAAGCCACCGACGAACACAAAGAGGCTACCACAGCGAACAACTACCGAGGGGTTGGACGAGAGGGTACGGCCGTGAAAGGTCGAGACGATACTAGAGGCCGGCGAAATGGTCGAGAGAACGGAGGTACCGGGCGTTTATAGTGAGGCTACGGGCGTTTTGAGCGGTAACGATGTCCGAAGTTGCCTCGAGTGACCAGATTCTCGAGGACACCCGGCATGAATAAGTAGTGGGGGTCGAGCCTACGCAGGGACCTCGACACTAAGAGGAGAACGGTGCGGGCCTAGGGCTCGGAGATGGGCCTCCCGGCCTAGAATTTTGGGAGGGCCCGCGTGGCCCTTACAAAGGGGGTTGGTACCACTTTTGAGTGGAGACCACCAAGGCCAAGGCAGGCCCGCCGCAGGCTCGACAATAGGTCCGGTACCGGGGCGCTGCAAAAGGCCCGGTTCCCGACAAAGAGGCCCCCCTCGACAATAACTGTTCGGGGGCTTAATCAGGCCCGAGCGCAGGATCGGTACCAGGGCGCTGCAACTGCAGCAGGCCCACGTCGACACCTTGAGGCGGTGAGTGGGCCGAGGCCGGAAGCTGCAAACTTTATAAGCCCAACAGGGCTCAAGTTCGGGGAATTTCTTCGCATGCACGCACAGGCGCACGTGAGGCGAACTCGGACTTCTCACACGAGGAATCAGGCGCCCGGGAACCCAAGCGCACGGGACAGACACTTCTTGGAGGGGAGACAGGCGCACAGAGAGGTACGTGCACGGGTGGAGACAGGCGCGGATCGACGGGTGCCTGGAGCTCACTCGCTGGTAGGAGTGCACCCGCGCGGTGGCGCAGAGCCACCGACGCACGGGCGTGGTTGCGCGGGAATCACCCACGCCCAGAGGTACGTCCTCACAGTTGCGTGAGGTCGACTCACGGTCAAGCGCGCATCCGCGCAGTCGTGCGGGGCACGTCCTCGCACAAGCCTCGTCTGCGCAGTTGCGCAGAACTCACTCGCACACCCACGAGCACGTTCGCGCACATCGCGCACCACCTGCGCACCCTCCCGCTCGTTCGCACACACCCGCGCACCACCTGCGCACCCCTCCCAGCAAGTTCGTTTATACCCGCGCACCACTTGCGTATCCTCCCGCGCGCTCGCTTATACCCGCGCACCACCTGCGCACCCTTCCTCGCACCACCTGCGCACCCTTCCGTGCGTTCGCCCACACCCGCGTACTACCCGCGTACACCCACACGCGTTCGCGCATACCCGCTCATTAAAGGCTTGCTCCTGCGCGTGTCAACACACAATCGCGCGCTCACGCTCGCGTATCTGCCCGCACACGCCCTCACTTTTGCATCCTCGCGCGTCAGCACACACTCACAGGCTCACGCTCGCGTATCTGCCCGCACGCCCTCACTTTTGCATCCTCGCGCGTTCGGGGAGTGGTGCGGGAAGGTTTGCTAGTCACCGCGCACCATCACGGACGGACGGGGAAACCTTCCGCCGGGGGAGCCAGCAAGTTCGCACACACGGGGAAGTTTCTTTTGCCGAAGAAGTTCTCCGCGATCGCGCATACGGGGAAACCACCCGCTGGGTGCGTTCGACAGAAGGTTGCGCACTTCGCCACCTGCCGCGAGTTCGGACCAAGTCTGCGGGGAAGGGGGTTTGATGCGCTACAGCTAACCGACAGTAGTACAGCGCGCGGACAGTAGAGGCGAACGCCACGCGAGGCTGAACCTTTGATCACGTACACGAATGAGCTCTACCTACAAGGGGAGTTTACCGCGAGAGGGACACGCGCATCACTGCGCACACGGAGAGTTACCGCGTGCGAAAACTACCAGCAGGAAGATAGCGCACCTGCGTGTGGTAGCACGGGACAGCGCACGTGTGGACACCGATTCGGCGACGGCTGAAGGGAGAGAGCTGCGCACGTCACGACTCATCGCACATCYGGGCTGGCAAYGGGGGTGGGTACCCGACAGTGTGGAAGTACGCAACGGGCAGGGAAGGCCGGACGCGCTGGACGCGCAAGGTGGCATCTTTGAGCACGAGCCGGACAGATACTTACGGGGATACTTAGTCAAGAGGGCGTTTTACCGCAGACATTTCACTGAAAAGGGTGATTCACTGGGRACGTTTCACTGRAAGGAGCAATCTACTAGGGACATTTCACAGATGAGGTACTTGCCAAGGGGGTACATTACCGGAGCARCAYTGAACGGGGGGGCACTTCGCCGGGAAGGGCGCTTTGCCGAGGGCATTCTACTGATAAGACACTCCATCAGGATGGCTTTCTACTGAAAGGAGCRTTCTACCGGCAGGAGACCTCACTAAAGAGGCGCTTCACCGAGGAGCACTTTGCTCAAGGCACTTTGAACCAGGGGGAGATACTTCACCGGRACGAGCATTTTAACGGAGGGCCACCCTTCTAAAGGGGCATTTTACCGGAGCCGTTTTACCGAAGGGGGCGTTTTCACTTTACCGAGCCGGCATTATACYGAGTGAGTACTTTACCGTGTGGACACTCACCGAACGGCATTTGTCGGGSGGATTCTTTTACCGGACTCAACAACCGAGCGGGTACTWGRTGAAGCGGGCTTTCCGGAGGAGTGCTATCGCAAAAGGGCACGACCGAGGGGTACACTATCGAAAGGGCACGACCAAGAGGCACTTCTGCGAAGAGGCACGCCCAAAGGGTACGTACGCGAAAAGGCACGACCAAAGGGTACGTTCRCGAAGAAGCATAATCTGAAGTGAACTTTCCGAGAGGTACGTTTGCGAAGAGGCAYGAGTCCGAACCGGGCTTTCGAACGGGTACTTTGACTTTTTGAGCCCTTTGATATTCCTACGGTGGCCTAGCGACACAGGCGAGCCCGTCCRAGCCTTGTTGGAACCGAAGAGGCACGAGTCCGAACYGGGCTTTCGAAAGGGTACTTTGTCTTTTTCGAGTCCTTTGACATTCCTACGGCGGRCTAGCGACATGGGCGGGCCTATTCGAGCTTTG